GCCTGACTGTCTGATGTGCGTTTGGGAAAACCAGCTTTTTGATGTTTGTTGATGGTTCGGCTTCTTGGACCCCTGGTTCGGTGTTTCTTCACCTCATGAAACTCTTGTTTCGGGTTCTTTGATTTTGCTTCGCCTTGGAAACATCGTTCTTGAAATCAGATAGAAAGCCTATTTTTTTCTTCCACACACATCATGTCTGGTGGAAGCAGCAGAGAAGGCTGTGCTGCAGTTTCTCCCCATGTTTACAGCGCTGCAGGTCCTCCCTCCCTCCTCTGCTGAGGAGAAGTTTGTTTGGACTTCTGCAGGTGCAGAAGTGATAAGGGTACAGAATAGTAAGGAAGTACATTTACTGGGTAAGTTTGAAATGATGGAATAATTCAATGATTTGTGACAAAGTTCAAATTTTAATCTAAAGTTCTTTAAGCTACATTAACTTGTTTTATCTACTATTGTTTGTGAAAGGGTAAGATAACATCTGATCTGTCTTTCCTTCAGCTCCTTTAAATCAGACTGTTGGTAACTTTGACTCCCAGTTTTCCTTCACATGAGCTCATGACTCATGACTGACCCTGATTCTGAAGAGCTGAACTGAATCTGTGTGAAACATCTTTGTGTTGTGATTTTAACATTTTGCATAGAGATTGAGATTGATCTTTATTTTATTTTTTTTAATGAAGCTCAGGTTACACTTACACTTTGTAGAGATAAGGGAGTCTATTGTTTTGACTGATTTGAACTTTTCTCTTTCCAGGGAAACAAAAAGGGTAACTGATAATGATAAGAACTACAAATTTAAATTCTCAGCAAATAGATAATTTACCGTAAAAATTATCATCATAGGAAAAACAGTAAATATTTTTGCCAACTAAGATGTGATTCCAGGGCTCTATTTATTGGCAATATATTTTAGCCATCATAATCTTTTCCTTGATTTTTTCATCTATTATAATCATTTAACATTGTCCACTGACTTGAATGCAGTTGTGCATTTTAATAGATTTTATTTATTATTATTTTTAATTTTAGTTTGTTAGCTTTTAGCTTTCAGTACATATACTCACAATTTTAGTTTCTAGTTTTTTATATTCATAAATTTTCCTTTTAATAATATCGATTACACAAGGATAATATCCTTTTATAATCGAAAGGGTGGACTATTTCTCTTCTGTTTATATTAATTTATCCTATTTACTCTCTATAAAAGTCTGTTTCTCTCTCAAGGCCCCACAATTCTCTGCAGGATGGTGTTTGTAGACCAGACATAGCTTCTTCCCATAACAACTTAGATTCTTTCTCAAGGTTTATTCATAGCATGTTACTGTTTAACCAAAGTGTCTGTAATTTGTTATGACTCTGACTGCTTTTCCATTGTTTTAAGTAAGGTGACATGAACGCTGCTCTAGCAGAACAGAGCAGAAAGCTGTGCCATAAAGGCTGTATAATGAACTGTTCTCTCTTTGCAAAGATATGAATAAATGTGCCGACTGAGTGAAATCCATCTATCTCTGTTTATTTAACTAGGGCGAATAGTTGAATACTTTTTTCCCTGACAGTCAGTTATGTTTGGTTATGCAGTCAGTTAGCTTGGGCACAGTTTGCTTGAGTTAAATTTTCTGCTTTTGGTTGAGCTCTTTTATGACTTGAACCCATGAATTTTTTGTAAGTTTCTTTTTTTTGGGTTAAAATAAAAACCCAATTTTTGTATTAAAAAGGCCTTCTCTATACGTGGTAGTAACTACCAAGTATAGAGAAGGCCTTTTTACTGAACCAAAATAAGCCTCCAATAACATTACAACCACAGTTCCAGTCAGTCTTTGAGTTCACTTTGTACATTTCAATTTGTTAAGTGATTTCTTTATTCAGCAGACTCATGGTCCACTAAGAGATGATACACCACACAAAGAGATAATACACAACAACACAATACAAAAAATAACATAAAATAAATCTTATAAAACACTTGCATACCAATGTTTCCACAGAGCCAACTGGTATCTTAGCACACTGAGAGAGAAATGTGAAAACATTACAATATGACTGTTCAATGAGCTGCTTAAATGACACATAAACCTGTATATCAGATATCAGTGCCTGCAATGCTCTGACATGTGCATTAAAAAAATCTAACTTGGAAAACACCCTAAAACATCTTTCAGAGCAGAACTAGAGGTTTTTACTCATACTCATCGTTTACCACTTCCTCTGGGACCACGGGGGCAACAGTCCCATCAGAGACCCCCACACTTTCCTCTTCCCGGACACCTCCTCCAGCCCCTCTTGGAGAAGCCTGAGTGCTCCCAGGCCATTCGAGAGACATAGCCTCTCCATCGTGTCTGGAACACCTCCCAAGTGAGGTGTCCAGGGGGATTCTGACAAACATGTCTGAGTGGTGGATTTTTTTTAACAAAAAATACCTTTCTGCCCTCACCTCTAAGCTGGCTGCACAACTCTTTAGTTGAAAGTGTCACTAAATTCTTAGACAATTAACAAACATATGAAGCCATACAAATTATAGATGTGCTATTATTTTTTACTTTTTCTGTTGATTTTTTAAAAACTTTTGTGATTTAATCTAAAGTGTTATGATAAACGAGGAGTGAGAGGTTAGTTATGGATGAAACCTAACCTTAACATGATAATGACGAATAAGAAATATGTGCTTAAACTGAAGTTCATTTTTCTTTATAGCAATTTTATTTAGAAAGGGGGATGTTGTTTATTGGAAAACAGCCCTTTAACTATTTGTTTGAACAATACAGCTGTTACTGAAGGCCTCTGGTTTCCTCCAGTGTATCTAGTGGTAGAGCAACAAATAATTATGGCCCAAGACCATATTGGTTACATAATGCTGTGCAGATCCTGGTCGTTGATTGGCTCCCAGCTGTCAGCTCCCTATCTTGGATTGGCTGGCCTCTCCTGACTCCTCCCTAAAGGACATTGATCTTAAACGTGATTGGACCATTCCTTTCCTGCTCCTGAGCCAATTGCTTCAGCAGAGGGATCATGTCATGGAGCTTCATCTGCTCATGATACCATCTGCTGGATGAATGCAGAATCACAGTCAGCAATATATCTTTAACGCCTCAATTGCATTTGTCCTTTAAGATCCTTAAATATTATAATTAATAAGTAATAACTATTAGTTTCTATTATGATTATTCTGTCTGTATGTAATGAAATATTTTGAACATGTTCTGTGTTTACATTTTCTAAGAAAAAAACCCTTATATGGCAGGCTGTGTTTTTCTGTCACTTTACTGAAATGACTTGGGTTCAAGCAGACAGACAGGGAAAGTGGGTTAAAGTCTGAATATAGCTCCATATGATGGTAACTGGAACAATGATGAGCGAAATTTTAGACTTTATTTAAAAAGAAAGTAAAAAAAAAAAAATTTTTTGGTTTTGATTTAATCCTCTTTTTGTAAATTGTCCAGCCTTTGAAAACACCAACTGAGGATGCCAGCTGAGAGCCGTGTTGTTTTGTACCCTGACTCTAAACATAACAAAACAATTCACCTTCAGCCATTAATAATTTCTGTGTGTTTTTGCATCTATGGTGGCATTTTTTTATTTTCACTATTCAACTCAGAATGGAAAGTGAGCAAAGCAGTTTCAGTTGATTATATTTTTTTATTTCTTTTTTTGGTAATATTAACTGCTGTAGACTTGACTGGTAAATGGATTACCAAAAGACTGAAATCCAACACCCAGGCTCTGATTACAGCAGAAAATGCTGATTAGGTACTGTGACCCCGGATCCAATGAGTACAGGTGCAGCCCTTTAAGACTATCACTAATGGGTTCATCCCTTTGCATTCAGGGCACCACTGAAAACTTTAATCTAAAGTACGGTGACAAAATTGGGTCCATAATGGCCTTTTTTCTTTAGTCATAAATGACCCAGTGAGGCCCAGAGCTTAAAGGAATATGGTGAAACTCATATGTAACAAACATTCTACTTTGTAAAAGCTTTGTTCTTTTAGGTTATTGCAAAAGCGTTTATGTTTTATGATTCCCTTCTTCTCTATTTCACAGAAACAGTGACATCTTCCTCCTCTGTTAGAGAGAAAAACTCCTCCTTGTCTGCTTCGTCACATCAGGATCCTCCTGTCTCTCTGTTCTTCTCTCCATCTGAGGGAGCATGAAATACTTTTGTTTTCATTCATGTGCCAATCCAGTGGCTCAAAAAGCTTTGAACATCAGCTCGGATAATTGTGGACTTACCAAAGACAGAGGTAAGTCTGCTTATATTTTGTTGATATTAACCTTAAAATATACCTTTTTTCCCACAAATTACAAAAAATAAAAAACATCAGAATTTAAATCTACCCCTTTTGAGGGTTTTATCATAGGAGAATCAAGTCAGACCTACTTCAAGTAGACAAAAAAGTGGAATCTAACTAAAAATCATCTCACTAAAAGCTTTGCTTTGGTAAGTGACTGACAGGATGTTAACCAAGTTTCTTTATTTAAAGATAAAATTGTTTAAATAAAATCTCTTCATTTAATAATTCAACATAACCTTACTTGTTCATTAAGTGTTTTCAAAATCTCAAAAGTTGTTTGTGAAAATAACAGTCAGATTGATGAAAATAAATTATACTGTATTAAACATGATTTGAAGTCATAATGGTTTAATATGTTATTCCATTTTTGTTTAAAATCTCAGAGTAAAACTATCACACTTATATCATGTTCATACATTTTGTTAGGATTCTTATTAATGTCTGATCGGTTTTTCAGTCGAGCCGCACCCTAAACCACATTCCTCTAAGCTGAATTCCTAAGCAGCACTGATGTAAAAACTTTCCAGCTGAACCAGTTTAACTGAGGATAGAAAACAAAGTCGAAAGACAGTAGATTAGTGAGAAGTATCATATGTTCAACACCTGAAAATTAAAATAAAATAAAAAATACTTGTCTGTTCATTAATGAATTGAAGTTGGATTTTTTTATATCCACTAAATTTAAACTAACAGTGTTTCGCACATTAATGAAACTACTTGGGGCCAGAAAATCCCCTAAACATATGTTTATAAAACATCTTTTTATATATGTGTGTGAATATGTTTGTGTATGTATGTTTACAGGTGTAAGTGTAGAATGTGTTTTATATTTGTCATATATCACACCCGCATAAGGGTACATATGTATGTTAAAATGTGTATATATTGTATATGTATTTTTATATGTGTTTGTGTATTTTCTTTTTCTTTCAAATATTGGTTGTATTCTTAGTTTTGTTTTTAATGTATATATTTTTTCAGGACCCCAGGAAGAATAGCTGCAGCATAGCTGTAGCTAATGGGGATCCTTTCAATAAAACAATAAAACTAAAACTATCTTGTTCAGCACAAATACACTCAAGGCAAAGTTAACAGATATCTTTTAGAGTTTCTTGGTTCTGGTTTTCACAGTGATTGGCGTCCAGATTCATCCTTTAATATTGGATCTTCAGGGCTGGATTTGTTTTCTGACTTTCTACATGCAGGCAGTCTGCCACCCACCTGTTTCCAACACTAATTATGTTGAAGAGCAAGACAAACCAGATTTTAACACTGTTTTAGATCACCTTAGTGGGAAACAAGCTATCTCTTCTTCATCTCACCCATGTGACTTTTGTTGGGAGTTACCTTCTGAAAAAATCAGCTCACATGATCACCTCAACAGCAGGAGTGTTTTGTTTCAGCATAACCCCTGCTGCTGTAGAGTCTGTCTTCTATGCTCTCAATCTGTTTTCTGGCTACAAAATCAGTCATAAAGTTTGAGGAGGGGTGTGTGTTATTTTGCCCATTTCCGTGTCTTATTGAAATAGAGGAATAAAATAAAAGCCATATGATAAAATCCAAAGGGACTAAAACCCTGGCAGTCTGGATCGTCAGTTTTTGTACGGTTGGCTATGCTTCACATTTGATTGCTTTCCTATCTTCTCTTAGTGATTCTTGACTTTCTTTATGTGTTGAATTGTGTTGGGCTACCTTCACTCTGACATGTCTGTATATATGTACAGATATAACCACAGATACAACCTACAGTAGTAGCCATTCAAAGTTTCCCCACTTTCCATGATGGGCCCTTGGCTGGTCCCCTACAAAACCTTTTTAAGCACCAGTCTTTGTACTAAAATATCCTTTCCATCATGCTTTGTGGACAATATCCAAAGAGAAGCGTTGTGTCCTGGTCAGACCCTTTAATTTAATGAAAGGGTGGAGTCAAAGTAAAGAAATGTGCACACCCAGGAGAAGGAGAGCATCACTACAATTGCTGGAAGTTGGAGGGGATTTTGCACGGAGTTGCAGGAAGTGGACCGCCATTCGGCTGGCGCTTCACTGGGAAGGGCCATTTTGAATGCCTGCTTCTGTAAATGATTGAAATCTTCTGTTTCATTTTCAGTAAAGTTACATATATGTACCAAGCCACCTTATGGCCACAGTCCTACAGTACCTGTCTGCTTGTGAAAGCGAATCTGTTATCAGCTAGCTTTGGGACATTGATTCCCAGAACTTTACTGGCAAAAAAGGGCACAGATACAAAAAAGAGGAATGTTGTTTTGGCTTTTGGTTTGGAGTTTAACCCTATGTTTATTAGTGTTAATTTTCTGGCCGAGAACACTCTCTGGAGGACTAGTTACTTTTTTAAGTAATGTTTCCAACTCTGCACTGGAGCTTCAGGCCTTCAGCTGATGTTGTGGTCCAAACAGTCACTTTCTGCTGGGATGCTGCAGCCCAACCTGAAATTACAGAAAATACTATGGAAACAATGATGAAAGGAGTGTTGACGTTTGAAAAGGTACACCTTTTTTCTGCAGTATATAAATAAATCTAGGGAATACCTGAGGGTTTCCTGTGCAGGTTGGGATCCGAGCTGACAGACAGATCCAGAGTTTAGTTGTCAAGTCCGCCGTTTTGGCCAGAAAAAAACAAGTGTATTTTAACCTTCTTCCCCAATTCTCCCATATTATCAGTCTCCCTTAAAAGTCCTGTAATACTGCATTTTAAAACTATATTTAAAATAACATGAATTTGCCTCTACAAATGGAACTGTCACCAGCATCACAAGTGAAAATATGTTCACAAGTGTTTATTGTAATGAACTGAAGTTATTCTTCTAATAGTAGCAGCTTTTTTGCTCTCAGATATTTGATCACTGAGTGTTTTGAATTTTCTTACATATGTATTATGTTTCTCAAAGGGATCCACTAGTGACCAAAGCAGTGTGACATCATGGCAGAGGCAGAGCCTGGTGAGTTAAGCCTCTTTCTCTATTGGTCTGACTGCCATGGGTGACTGTTTATAAATGATAAAAAACCCTCTATTATGACTTTTCTTCTAACTAGATCATCACAGTAACTTAGTAATTGGATCAAAATATTCAAAGGTATTCATATGAAAGGAAACCATGCAGAAACATTTGCTTTGGTCGCTAGATTCACAGTAATTAAATGAAACAACTACAGAGATTTTTAGAAAGCTAAGCTTGTCATATCTTAATCCGTGATACTGAATTATGATTTAATAATCATAATGAATGACTTGTATTATTCCGTCTGTACTGGCAGATAATCCGAACCCATTGAAGAGTTCTGGGAGCTCTGAATTCACTCGTCCAAATTGTAAGTACACCTGAACTGAATCCTGAGAGAACAAAGGTAGCTGTATTCAAAATGTTGGATTGTTTGTGTGTTTGTGGGCCCAAAAAGTCTGAATCACCAGCTGTCGAAGGTTTTTCATAAATTTGATAGAGGCAAGAAATCTTGTTTGGTCTTGATGCATCATCAGCTCTTTACTGCACAATTTAACATCAATTCCTCATGAAGTCTTTAAGGGTTTACTTTACATAACAAGTGGATCCAAATACTTCAGTAGTTTATCTGGAGCTGCTTTCCCATAAACCATCAAATTGCTCAACTTGTAATTTTGCAATTTTTTTGCTTAATTGATACAATGGAATAAAAAAAAAAAAAAAAAACTTTTAAGTTTTCACTCTTCGATTAGGTCATTTTTCCGTTGTATAGAAATTATTTTATTCACCAGAAATGCAATGGAAACAATTTATTTGCACCACACAAGTCACTTAATCTGCAGCCGGACCTTACTGGATTTAAAAAGACGATTGAAGAAGAAGAAGAAAATGATGGTGTCCCTCTAGATATATGGTTATATCTCATGTGTTTAAATATGCTGCAGCTGTTGTTATGATAGAATAAGATTAAAAAAAAAGATTAGATAAGATAAGATAGACATTATTGATCTTACAGTGGAGAAATTTTGTCAGATCGGCTCAAATTGTAAAAAGAAGAAAAAGGTGTAAGGATATACAGTATATACAGTACATCCATTATATATATATATATATATATATATATAGTATGTATATTCTACATATGTATATGTAGAATATATAGAAACACAGCTTCTGTACAATTCAGTACCTCGTTTAGGAGAAGGCACTACTTTCATGTCATGCAATTTCAGGGAACAAATACCATGGCCAGCTGTTATGAAATGTCATTCAGCTGTATCAGGAATGTGATCTATGTGTTTTTTTTCTTTAGTCCTGGTGTTTATCTTTCTCTTTCATTTTACCTACAAACCAGTTGGCAAGGACATTTCAAGGGATACATTATATTTTTAGTCCTACAGGTGATTGTATGTGAAATAGAAAATTTTCTCCAGGATGAGGATGTTGGAACACGTTACCTCTAATCAAAGCAGTGCACTTGGGTTTGTATTGGGTCTAACATAATGTTAGTTTAGATTAAGCTATGTCTGCTACCGCAGAACCAGGCTCACTATGAGTGGCCATCTGCTGAGGCCGACTGGGGTTCAAGGAGGCAGAAACATAGATACAAAAAGCAGTTGTAAAAGGCGGCCCTGTCCAGGAAACACACAGCCAGGCAGACGAGCTCCGAGCCAGCTCCCATGTAAGAGGATGAAGAGAGCAAATCCAGCCAGTCACAGTCAGAGAAACAGGACTACACTGGAAAATGGGCCAATCTCCAATATCTATAAACAAAGGTGTTTCACATGTTCCACCAGTGCTGCCTGACTTGATGAGGATTAAGCAATCATACTCAAAGGAAGGCAGATGATTAAGGCCGCACACAGAAACATTTGTCCAACTTGATGTAATACTTTTAATTAGAATTAGAATTTAATTAGAATTTCTAGCTTTTCTCTGAGGCTGCCTTTGGTTGTCGATTACACAGAAAACAGGTTGTTTGAGTAGCCAGAAAGTTGGCACTGCCACAATTCCATTTGATTGGTCATGGTCATAAGAGAGGTAACTACAGCTGGTAAAGCTGTTTGGTTTGTGGGTCTCCATGACATCACATGGACCCCTGCTGTGCTGCTCCTTCTTTGGACATGTCCTGAAATGGAGAACCATCCACAAAAAGAAACACAGGGTATTACCACTCTATTGATGTGTTTCATTTTTATCCAGTGTTATCTCCATCTAAGTTGCTGTGGCTGCTTAGTAGTGCAGTGGGTAGCACTGCTGCCTTACAGCAGGAAGGTTCTGGGTTCATTTCCCGCCTGTGGTCTTTCTGCATGAAGTTTGCATGTTCTCCCTGAGTATGCGTTCGTTCTCTCCGGGCTCCAGCTTCCTCCCACAGTCCAAATAAAAAAGTGTTGATAGTTTGAAACTCAGTGTTGTTGTGTTCTTGGGCCAGACACTTCTCCCTAATTGCCTACTAATGGTGGTTATAGGGTCTGGTGGCGTCCGTGTACAGCAGCCTTATTTCTGTCAGTGAGCCCAAGTGCAGCTGAGGCTATGATGTAACTTATGACAATCAGTGTGTGAAAGGCTGAAAGACTAAATGCAGTCTAAAACGCTTTGGCCAAATCTCCTGACTTAAGAAGGCAAGGCAAGGCAAGGCAAATTTATTTGTATAGCACAATTCAGTACAAAGACAATGCAAAGTGCTTTACATGATTAAAATACAGGAAGATAAAACAGAATCAAAGCAAGTAGGAAAAAATAAATAAAATAAAATTAAAAATGCAGAAACAAAAAAGAATATTAAAAACAGTTGGACTAAATAAAATATGTTTTAGTTAAACTGTTTAACTAGAACAGTCGAAGGAAATCCTAAAAAAATGTGTTTTTAGTCTTGATTTAAAGGAACTCAGGCTTTCCGCACTTTTACAGTTTTCTGGAAGTTTGTTCCAGATAAGTGGAGCATAGGAACTAAATGCTGCTTCTCCATGTTTAGTTCTGGTTCTAGGTCTGCAGAGCAGGCTGGAGCCAGAAGACCTGAGTGGTCTGGAGGGTTGATACACTGATAGCAAGTCTGTGATGTATTTAGGTGCTAAGCCATTCAGAGATTTATAGACAAACAGAAGTATTTTAAAGTCTATTCTCTGAGATACAGGGAGCCAGTGTAAGGACTTTAGAACTGGGGTGATGTGCTCTACTTTCTTAGTCTTAGTGAGGACACGGGCAGCAGCGTTCTGGATCAGCTGCAGCTGTCTGATCCACTTTTTAGGCAGACCTGTGAAAACACCGTTGCAGAAATCAATTCGACTAAAAATAAACGCATGGATCAGTTTTTCCAGATCATGCTGAGACATTAGTCCTTTAATCCTGGAAATGTTCTTCAGGTGATAGAAAGCCGACCTTGTAATTGTCTTTAAAAGCTTTTGGAGGTTCAAGACTGAATCCAGCACTACACCTAGATTTCGGACCTGATCAGTGGTTACTAGCTGAAGCGACTGAAGTTGTGTGCTAACTTTAGATCTCTGCTCTATTGATCCAAAGATTATTACTTCAGTTTTGTTTTTATTCAGTTGAAGAAAATTATGGCACATCCAGGCATTGATTTCTTCTAAGCATTTCCTCAGTACTTGAATTGGTTCATAGTCACCTGGTGACATGGTGATGTAAAGCTGTGTGTCGTCTGCATAGTTAAGGCACCAAATTAGTACAGGCTACTTAAAGTACCATTTAACAATATTTTTTTCTGGTTGCAGTGGCAGAGGAGAGCAATCGAGACGAGGATGAAGGTTTAACCATGACTGTAAAAGCTAAACATTCTCTGAACCTGGTTCTGTTTGGAAGACAAAAAGCAGGGAAGACCTCAGCAGTCAAGGCCATTCTAGGTCAGACAGATCTTCCTTCAGCCTCCAACTCATCAGAGTGTGTTAGAAACCAGGGAGAGGTTTGTGGACGTTGGGTTTCTGTGGTGGAGCTGCCTGCATTGTATGGAAAAGCTCAGCAGGAAGTGATGGAGGAATCATTCAGGTGTATCTCCCTCTGTGATCCTGAGGGTGTCCACGCCTTCATCCTGGTCCTACGTGTGGGTCCCCTCACTGATGAAGACAAGGGAGAGTTACAGACCATCCAGGACACATTCAGCTCTAGAGTCAATGACTTCACCATGATCCTGTTCACTTTAGAGTCAGATCCTACAGCTGTAGATGTTAACGTCATAGAGACTGATAGAAACATCCAGGAGCTCCTTCAGGGCTGTGAAGGAAGATATGTTGTTTTCAACGTTAACCATCCACAGCAGATACCCCAACTTTTAGGAACTGTGGGAATGACAAGGAAATCTGATACTAACACACACAGTTACACAACAGTAATGTTTGCAAATGCCCAAAAGGAAAGACTACTGAAACAACAGAAAGAACTAGAAGAACTAAAGACAGAAAAGATGGGAAGTAAGTATCAGTTCTTCATTTTTTTGACCTCCTGACCTCTGGTTCTATCTTTGAACCTGCTTTTAACATATTGCAAAATGCTTTAATATTACAGGTGATAAGAAAAGCACCCCAGAGTGTCTAAGGATTGTCCTGATTGGGAAAACCGGGAATGGAAAGAGTTCATCAGGAAACACCATTCTGGGGAAAAAAGTGTTCACATTTGGATCAAGTCAAAGATCAGTAACTAGACGGTGTCAGAAAGAGGAAGGTTTAGTTGACGGTCGCCCTGTTGTGGTTGTTGACACTCCTGGTTTATTTGGAAACAGTTTGTCCCATGAAGCAGTCAGTGAGGAGCTGGTGAGATGCACCAGTCTTCTGGCTCCAGGTCCACATGTCTTCCTGGTGGTGATTCCAATCGGCAGATTTACAGAAGAGGAGAACGAGACTTTAAAACGCATCCATGAGGTGTTTGGTAAAAATTCAGAAAATTTCACCATCATCCTTTTTACTAGAGGAGATGATCTGGAGTATGAGGAGAAGTCTATCAAAGAATATGTGGAAAAGGATTGTGAGGAACCCTGCAAGAAGCTGATCAGAGACTGTGGAGGGAGATACCATGTGTTTAATAACCATGGGAGATGGAATCGATCACAAGTCAGAGAGCTGATCAGAAAGATCGACATCATGGTGAGGGAAAATGGAGGCCGCTATTACACAAACGAGATGCTGCAGGAGACTGAAGCTGAGATACAAAAGAGAATAGAGAAAATCCTGAAGGAAAAAGAAGAAGATATAAAAAAACTGAAGGAGGAGCTGAAAAGAAACATTGAAGAAGAAAAAGAAGCAATGAGAAGAAAAATGGTCGAACAGAGAGAGGAAATAGAGAAAGAGAGAAAAGAATTAGCTGAGCAACTTAAAGAGATGGAAGAAAACATCAACAAGAAAAAAGAGCGGAAGATGAAAAAACAGCAGATAAGAGAAGAAGAAGAGAAGAAGAGAAAAGAGGAGGAGGAACAACAACAACAACAGTGGGAAACAGAACGACAAACTTTAGAGAAAAAGATTAAGATAGAGTCAGAAGGAAAGGAGACAACTGACAGAAAAATGGAAGAGATGAAAAAACAGATGGAAGAAAAACGAGACGCCTGGGAAAAGGAAAGGAAGGAGTGGTGGGAAAAACGACACCGAGAGGATGAAGAGAGAAGAGAAGAACTGAAGAGGCTTCAAGAGAAGTTCGACAAAGAAAGAGAAAAATATGAAAATAAAATTAAAAAATATGATCAGGAGAGAATGGAAAAAGAATTAGAGGAAAAATATCGCAAACAATTGGAGGAAATGAAGAAGAAGTTTCTAAAGCAGGCCAGAAAACAGGCTGTAGAATCCAGCTCTAAGAAATTTTATATGAATACAAAAGCAGATCCTTAAAATAAAAAAAGAAATGTGATGGTGATACAAGACTAAGAATTGCTGGAAAAAAATCAATGTTCCAAAAAAAGATTAAAACACCATCAAATATAAGATGTGGACAGACTTAATATCCCCCTATTTGATCGATATTAAGCCAGACTAATCAAGCTCTTCCAGGAGGATCCAACACTCTGAACAGGCAGTATGTGTCAATTCAACTCAAATTAATTAATAAAAAAAAGGATTTTTACACTCAGTTAATCAAATCATCCAGACAGTTTTCTAACTACAAGGAGATCCAGCTGGTTACACTGAGTCATTGATTTCCAGCATTCACTCCTCCTGAATCAGCAGATACAGAGCATGCCTCAAAGATTCCACACACTATAGCAGAATGAGCACCTGGGTTAATCTGGGTCTGCATGGTGCTGATGATGCTGTAGCTGTTAGCTGTATGGGGGCCACAGGTGTCTGGTGAACACTCATTCTGATGTAAATATCTGTAAGCTTTAGTTCAGCTTTATTTTTATATATTTGAATTTGTCCAAAAGAACACAGAGGCAAACCTCCAAGAGGTTAAAATACTATTAGTTGATATCCTTTTTTTATTCCTTGCCATCTTACTGAGAACTGTATGTATATAAATATCATTTTATTTTTAAGACATAGAGTAGTGTGTTTTGTTTTGTTATTTTTTATTTTTTATTTTTTTCAAATCAAGCATCTGCTACTGAATGTTGAATGTATTTCTGAAACTTTGTATTTCATCAAAAACTGCTCATGGAGTGAAACATTAATCGATGCAAGAAAAAAAAAGTATTATTCAATGAGAACTTCTATACATTTTTCTTTTGTTTTTAAGAAATAATTTACACAAAGGAAATATCAAAATACAAAAAGGACTGACTGTTTTTTTTTTTTTATCGTTTCTTCTGCCAGTTATTCTGTAACATTTATTGTTGCAATAAAAGTTTTGCTGTGCTT